AAAAAAAAAAAAAAAAAAAAAAACTTCCAGGAAGATGGTGGAGCAGTCAATGGCAGAGAAACAGTCTCTCCGAGAATTGGTGTCCAGATGCTGCAATATAGCAATGTAAGGAAGAGGAGTGAAGTGGGTCCCTGGGATCCAGCAAGGATCTGAAGCTAGAATTGAAGCCCACAGGGAGAGAGAGTGAAGACAGAGATGTCAGTGTAGAAGAAGATGGCAAGTGGTGCTTTCTCCCTGAGCCCTGACTCACTGCATGGGAGAGGCAGCTCAAACCTGCAGATGCAGTGACTACTGGTGACCCAGAAGCCTCCACAGAGAAACACACCAGTGGAACAGAGCAGTGGACACAGCAAACCTCAGTGGCTGGTGAGTTATTTGGCTTCAGAGGGCACTCTACCAGCTGACTCCATCTAGCAGCTCCCAGTGTCAGGGTGAGGTGAACTGAGTTCAAACCAGCAAGGAGCAGAGTTCAAGCTGGCAAGAGGCACACAGAGTGTTGCAGGCTCAACAAATTGAGTTTTAGCCTCACATCTAGAAACGAGCCTGAACTTCAGTGAAACTAAAGATGTGGGTTTGCGCCAGGTGTGGTGGCATATGCCTGTAATCCCAGCACTCGGGAGGCTGGAGCAGGAGGATTGCTGTGAATTTGAGACCAGCCTGGGCTACATACTGAGTTCAGGTCATTCTCAACTACATAGTGAGACCTTGTCTCAAAACAAACAAACAACAACAACAAAACCAAGGTGTAGGTTTGCTGGGATTATCCATTATCCTGGCATAAATCTGCAGCTGGTTTGCTGGGGTTAATCAACATGGATCTGGGCTCTGTCTGCCCACTCTGTCTACCAGTGACAGCATAGACATGCCCTAAGTGGACATTGGTTTTTCTTTTTTGCTTTTTTTTCTTTTTCACTTTTTTATTTTTTCCTGATTGTTTATTGTTTTTATATGAGTGTGAACATTGTTTCTAGTTTTTTGTTGTAGTTGTTCTGTTGTTTTTATTTTTTCCTTCTCTCTTGCCCTTCTGTCTTCACCAGTTTCCCAAAGTTTGCATAATCTTTCTTTGTCCTCCAGCCTTGCTTCTAATCTCTTCCTTTTCTTCTGCTTCTCTAGTTTTTCCTCCTAATGCCTTTGAAAATTTCTCCCTTGAGGGTAAAATCACCATATTGAGGGCATATTTACTGTATACAATTTTCTGGTTTGCTTTAGATTTTGTTATATAACCACAAATATAGTTCATATATTTAAAGATGGCAAATTAACAGTTACTACACTTTGTCACTTTCTAGGCTGTGTTTGATGCTATTGTTATTGCTGATTGTACTGCTTTAACCAAGGTGACAGTTGTTCTAATTGTTCTAATCAGTTGTTCTTCCTGGTATATACCAAGACTGAGGTTGCCTCAGGGTCATAAACAATACTATAGGCCAATACTAAAGAACTAGTAGTGAGTCCAAATAGGATTCAACTTTTTGTCCCCAGTAAATTGAAGAAGTAGGGTCTTGCAAAAGATTCAAAACCCAAAAGCCAGCGATACCTGGAAAACATCTCTAAGAACTAGTCATCTCTAAAAGTTCTAAATACTAGC